CAAAAAACCAACACTCGATCCCTCTGATGTCAACAACTACAGACCAGTATCCCTTCTTTCTTTTCTTTCCAAAACTATTGAGCGTGCCGTCTTTAGCCAACTCTCTTGCTATCTCTCTCAGAATGACCTTCTTGATCCAAACCAGTCAGGTTTCAGGACTGGTCATTCAACTGAGACTGCTCTTCTCTGTGTCACGGAGGCTCTCCGCACTGCTAAAGCTAACTCTCTCTCCTCTGCTCTTGTCCTTCTAGACCTGTCTGCTGCCTTTGATACTGTGAACCATCAGATCCTCCTCTCCACCCTCTCCGAGCTGGGCATCTCCGGCGCGGCTCACTCTTGGATTGCGTCCTACCTGACCGGTCGCTCCTACCAAGTGGCGTGGCGAGAATCTGTCTCCGCACCACGTGCTCTCACCACTGGTGTCCCCCAGGGCTCAGTTCTAGGCCCTCTCCTATTCTCGCTATACACCAAGTCACTTGGCTCTGTCATATCCTCACATGGCCTCTCCTATCATTGCTACGCTGACGATACACAACTAATCTTCTTCTCCTTTCCCCCTTCTGATAACCAGGTGGCGAATCGCATCTCTGCATGTCTGGCAGACATATCAGTATGGATGACGGATCACCACCTCAAGCTGAACCTTGGCAAGACGGAGCAGCTCTTCCTCCCGGGGAAGGACTGCCCGCTCCATGATCTCGCCATCACGGTTGACAACTCCGTTGTGTCCTCCTCCCAGAGTGCGAAGAGCCTTGGCGTGACCCTGGACAACACCCTGTCATTCTCCGCTAACATCAAGGCGGTGACCCGATCCTGCAGGTTCATGCTCTACAACATTCGGAGAGTACGACCCTGCCTTACACAGGAAGCGGCACAGGTCCTAATCCAGGCACTTGTCATCTCCCGTCTGGATTACTGCAACTCGCTGTTGGCTGGGCTTCCTGCCTGTGCCATTAAACCCCTACAACTCATCCAGAATGCCGCAGCCCGTCTGGTGTTCAACCTTCCCAAGTTCTCTCACGTCACCCCGCTCCTCCGCACACTCCACTGGCTTCCAGTTGAAGCTCGCATCTGTTACAAGACCATGGTGCTTGCCTATGGAGCTGTGAGGGGAACGGAACCTCTGTGGGCTATACTCGGCCTTGTCTCAGGATTGTAAGTTGGTGGTTGGGGATATCCCTCTAGTGGTGCGGGGGCTGTGCTTTGGCGGAGTGGGTGGGGTTATATCCTTCCTGTTTGGCCCTGTCCGGGGGTTTCTTCGGATGGGGCCACAGTGTCTCCGGACCGCTCCTGTCTCAGCCTCCAGTATTTATGCTGCAGTAGTTTATGTGTCGGGGGGCTGGGGTTAGTTGGTTATACCTGGAGTACTTCTCCTGTCTTATCCAGTGTCCTGTGTGAATTTAAGTATGCTCTCTCTAATTCTCTCGTTCTCTCTTTCTCTCTGAGAACCTGAGCCCTAGGACCATACGTCAGGACTACCGGGCATGATGACACCTTGCTGTCCCCAGTCCGCCTGGCCTTGCTGCTATTCCAGTTTCAACTGTTCTGCCTGCGGCTACGAAACCCCTACCTGTCCCAGACCTGCTGTTTTCAACTCTAAATGATCGGCTATGAAAAGCCAACTGAGAGACCTGAGCCCTAGGACCATACGTCGGGACTACCGGCCGTGGTGACTCCTTGCTGTCCCCAGTCCGCCTGGCCTTGCTGCTATTCCAGTTTAAACTGTTCTGCCTGCGGTTATGGAACCCCTACCTGTCCCAGACCTGCTGTTTTAAACTCTAATGATCGGCTATGAAAAGCCAACTGAGATTTATTCCTGATTATTATTTGACCATGCTTGTCACTTATGAACATTTTTGAACATCTTGGCATGGTTCTGTTATAATCTCCACCCGGCACAGCCAGAAGAGGACTGGCCACCCCTCATAGCCTGGTTCCTCTCTAGGTTTCTTCCTAGGTTTTGCCTTTCTAGGGAGTTTTTCCTAGCCACCGTGCTTCTACACCTGCATTACTAGCTGTTTGGGGTTTTAGGCTGGGTTTCTGTACAGCACTTCGAGATATTAGCTGATGTAAGAAGGGCTATATAAAATAAAATTGATTGATTGATTGAACGGCACCTCCATACCTTCAGGCTCTGATCAGTCCCTACACCCAAACGAGGGCATTGCGTTCATCCACCTCTGGCCTGCTGGCTCCCCTTCCTCTGCGGAAGCATAGTTCCCGCTCAGCCCAGTCAAAACTGTTCGCTGCTCTGGCACCCCAATGGTGGAACAAGCTCCCTCACGACGCCAGGACAGCGGAGTCACTCACCACCTTCCGGAGACATTTGAAACCCCACCTCTTTAAGGAATACCTGGGATAGGATAAAGTAATCCTTCTACCACCCCCCCTAAAAAAAAATAATAATAATAATAATTGTAAAGTGGTTATCCCACTGGCTATAGGGTGAATGCACCAATTTGTAAGTCGCTCTGGATAAGAGCGTCTGCTAAATGACGTAAATGTAAATGTAAAATGTATTTTTAGATATAGGCCTATTTTAGGCCTAAATGTGTTTTACTGCAAAAAATAAATACAAATACAAGCATAACTTTAAGCTACATATTCATTTGACAGAGGTAATGAACTGTCCATTAATCAGCACAGCAATTGATTAAACAGGACCATGTTTGCAAAACAAGTGGTTCTGAGCTTATCTCAATATTACACATATTAGCTAATGGTTACAGAAGTCAGGAATGGAGACAGGTTCTATAGACCTCTCTGTCTATATGAGTGACTGTGTCCAACACCACCACCACCTGTTGCACACCTACTGACCAAATAAGGATGTGATTATGAAATATATACTTTTCTCAGTGACATATATTGCTAAAATAAAGGTTTAAATAAATTACAATTTAAACGACAAGGAACAACCATGGCAGGTACCACATAAATTACTACAAGACAAAACAGCTCACTCAATCAGGCCTGATGGTCTTGTAAGTGTAAAAACAAAGCTTGCTTTCATATAATACAAAAAAAAGCTTGAAAAAGTAGTGGGAATGTCTTAGTGTGGTGTGTAAAGAATCAAATACTTTACATTGTATGCAGTACAATTCACATTGTTGTGGGACCATCTTCTCTAAGAGTATGAATTAGGCTGTTTGAGAAGGTTTGAATCCTAAGCAACCTGCCTACCCATTGTTTGAAGTACAATAGAGCCCCACAGTGGAGGTGTCATAATACCCATAAAACCTAGCGGTCAAACAGGGAAACGGTTCCAATAGTTTTTCCACCATTCATTTTTCCCATAGGGGATTTTAGAAACACTTCAAATAAGGGCTGTGTTTCATGTAGGCTTACCCTGGCGTGACGTTTTGATAACCATGTTAATCTCTCTCGAAACAAGGTGACTTTTATCAATATATTCGGCTCTATTTACTCTCAGATTCGAAAAATGCTAATTAGCATCAACGTAGACGTCATTCAAAACTACAAATCCCTGCAAGCTCCTGCGTGTCATCTCTAGTTGACACATTTGCTAACAGGTATTGCGTCAATTTAAAACTTGCACAAGACAGTTCACAGAATTATCAAGTTCAAGAAATGTAGGCTATTTATTAATTACAAACATTTAGCTAACGTTAGATAGTTAATCCAGAGATTCTTACCTTTGCATCGATTTGGCAGTCTCGTCCAGATCATAATGGCATTTGTAGTTCTTTGTAATAGCCACATTATCAGCTAATTAGTATTTCATTTTGGGGGGGTATATACAGGCAAATATATTGATAAAAGTCATCTTGTCCTAGAGATATTTACATGGTTATCAAAACGTCATGCCACGGTAAGCCTACACGAAACACAGCCCTTATTTTAAGTGTTTCTAAAATCCCTTATGGGAAATGAATGGTGGAAAAATGATTGGAACCATTTCCCTGTTTGACCTCTAGGTTTTATGGGTATTACTCATACTGTGGCACTCTATGGACTGTAGTAGGTCAGAGCTGTGTTCTGGAAAACCTTGGTGGAGCATGGGTGGAGGAGGCACTGTGGTGCTCATGTGAATTTCCTTTATTTTTAGGCTTCAGACCAACGCCTACTTCTCCCTTAAAACATAGTTTGTTGTTTCTAATAGTTCTCAAACAAACAAATAAATAAGACCAAGGATTTTTTTAAAATCCATCAGATGAACAGTTTTTTATTAAACCAGCAACACTGATACCAAATTATTTATAACAAATAAAATGAAACGTTTTCACATTGGGAGAGAGAGAGAGATGTTCACACACATACAGCTTATAGCTATGGTCTCCTACTGTACAACTAACCATATCATACAGCTTATAGCTAGGGTCTCCTACTGTACAACTCACCACATCATACAGCTTATAGCTAGGGTCTCCTACTGTACAACTAACCATATCATACAGCTGATAGCTAGGGTCTCCTACTGTACAACTAACCATATCATACAGCTTATAGCTAGGGTCTCCTACTGTACAACTCACCAGCTTATAGCTAGGGGTCTCCTACTGTACAAACTAACCACATCATACAGCTTATAGCTAAGGGTCCTACTGTAGCAACTAACCATATCTACAGCTGATAGCTAGGGTCTCCTACTGTACAACTCACCACATCATACAGCTGATAGCTAGGGTATCCTACTGTAACAACTAACCATATCATAACACTGATAGCTAGGGTCCTCCTACTGTACAACTAACCATATCAACAGCTATAGCTAAGGGTCTCCTACTGTACCACTAACCACATCATCAGCTGATAGCTGGTCGCCTACTGTACAACTTCACCAGCTTATCGCTAGGTCTCCTACTGTAAACAGCTAAACCATATCATACAGCTGATAGCTAGGTCTCCTACTGTCACTACCCTATCATACAGCTTATAGCTAGGGTCTCCTACTGTACAACTAACCCACAAAATCATACACTTAATAGCTAGGGTCTCCTACTGTGACAACTAACATATCATATACAGCTTATAGCTAGGGATCCTCCTACTGTACAACTAACCATATCATACAGCTGATAGCTAGGGTCTCCTACTGTACAACTAACCATATCATACAGCTTATAGCTAGGGTCTCCTACTGTACAACTAACCATATCATACAGCTTATAGCTAGGGTCTCCTACTGTACAACTCACCAGCTTATAGCTAGGGTCTCCTACTGTACAACTAACCACATCATACAGCTTATAGCTAGGGTCTCCTACTGTACAACTAACCATATCATACAGCTGATAGCTAGGGTCTCCTACTGTACAACTCACCACATCATACAGCTTATAGCTAGGGTCTCCTACTGTACAACTCACCACATCATACAGCTTATAGCTAGGGTCTCCTACTGTACAACTCACCAGCTTATAGCTAGGGTCTCCTACTGTACAACTAACCATATCATACAGCTGATAGCTAGGGTCTCCTACTGTACAACTAACCATATCATACAGCTTATAGCTAGGGTCTCCTACTGTACAACTAACCACATCATACAGCTGATAGCTAGGGTCGCCTACTGTACAACTCACCAGCTTATAGCTAGGGTCTCCTACTGTACAACTAACCATATCATACAGCTGATAGCTAGGGTCTCCTACTGTACAACTAACCATATCATACAGCTTATAGCTAGGGTCTCCTACTGTACAACTAACCACATCATACAGCTTATAGCTAGGGTCTCCTACTGTACAACTAACCATATCATACAGCTTATAGCTAGGGTCTCCTACTGTACAACTAACCATATCATACAGCTTATAGCTAGGGTCTCCTACTGTACAACTAACCATATCATACAGCTTATAGCTAGGGTCTCCTACTGTACAACTAACCATATCATACAGCTGATAGCTAGGGTCTCCTACTGTACAACTAACCATATCATACAGCTTATAGCTAGGGTCTCCTACTGTACAACTAACCATTTCATACAGCTGATAGCTAGGGTCTCCTACTGTACAACTAACCATATCATACAGCTTATAGCTAGGGTCTCCTACTGTACAACTAACCACATCATACAGCTTATAGCTAGGGTCTCCTACTGTACAACTAACCATATCATACAGCTGATAGCTAGGGTCTCCTACTGTACAACTAACCATATCATACAGCTGATAGCTAGGGTCTCCTACTGTACAACTAACCACATCATACAGCTTATAGCTAGGGTATCCTACTGTACAACTAACCATATCATACAGCTTATAGCTAGGGTCTCCTACTGTACAACTAACCACATCATACAGCTTATAGCTAGGGTCTCCTACTGTACAACTAACCATATCATACAGCTGATAGCTAGGGTCTCCTACTGTACAACTAACCACATCATACAGCTTATAGCTAGGGTCTCCTACTGTACAACTAACCATATCATACAGCTTATAGCTAGGGTATCCTACTGTACAACTAACCATATCATACAGCTTATAGCTAGGGTCTCCTACTGTACAACTAACCATATCATACAGGTTATAGCTAGGGTATCCTACTGTACAACTAACCAGCTTATAGCTAGGGTCTCCTACTGTACAACTAACCATATCATACAGCTGATAGCTAGGGTCTCCTACTGTACAACTAACCATATCATACAGCTGATAGCTAGGGTCTCCTACTGTACAACTAACCATATCATACAGCTGATAGCTAGGGTCTCCTACTGTACAACTCACCACATCATACAGCTTATAGCTACAGTGAGGGAAAAAAGTATTTGATCCCCTGCTGATTTTGTACGTTTGCCCACTGACAAAAAAATGATCTGTCTATAATTTTAATGGTAGGTTTATTTGAACAGTGAGAGACAGAATAACAACAACAAAATCCAGAAAAACATGTCAAAGATTTTATAAATGTATTTGCATTTTAATGAGGGAAATAAGTATTTGACCCCATCTCAATCAGAAAGATTTCTGGCTCCCAGGTGTCTTTTATACAGGTAACGAGCTGAGATTAGGAGCACACTCTTAAAGGGAGTGCTCCTAATCTCAGCTTGTTACCTGTATAAAAGACACCTGTCCACAGAAGCAATCAATCAATCAGATTCCAAACTCTCCAAGACCAAAGAGCTCTCCAAGGATGTCAGGGACAAGATTGTAGACCTACACAAGACTGGAATGGGCTACAAGACCATCGCCAAGCAGCTTGGTGAGAAGGTGACAACAGTTGGTGCGATTATTCGCAAATGGAAGAAACACAAAATAACTGTCAACCTACCTCGGCCTGGGGCTCCATGCAAGATCTCACCTCGTGGAGTTGCAATGATCATGAGAACGGTGAGGAATCAGCCCAGAACTACACGGGAGGATCTTGTCAATGATCTCAAGGCAGCTGGGACCATAGTCACCAAGAAAACAATTGGTAACACACTACACCTTGAAGGACTGAAATCCTGCAGCGCCCGCAAGGTCCCCCTGCTCAAGAAAGCACATATACAGGCCCGTCTGAAGTTTGCCAATGAACATCTGAATGATTCAGAGGAGAACTGGGTGAAAGTGTTGTGGTCAGATGAGACCAAAATCGAGCTCTTTGGCATCAACTCAACTCGCCGTGTTTGGAGGAGGAGGAATGCTGCCTATGACCCCAAGAACACCATCCCCACCGTCAAACATGAAGGTGGAAACATTATGCTTTGGGGGTGTTTTTCTGCTAAGGGGACAGGACAACTTCACCGCATCAAAGGGACGATGGATGGGGCCATGTACCGTCAAATCTTGTGTGAGAACCTCCTTCCCTCAGCCAGGGCATTGAAAATGGGTCATGGATGGGTATTCCAGCATGACAATGACCCAAAACACACGGCCAAGGCAACAAAGGAGTTGCTCAAGAAGAAGCACATTAAGGTCCTGGAGTGGCCTAGCCAGTCTCCAGACCTTAATCCCATAGAAAATCTGTGGAGGGAGCTGAAGGTTCGAGTTGCCAAACGTCAGCCTCGAAACCTTAATGACTTGGAGAAGATCTGCAAAGAGGAGTCGGACAAAATCCCTCTTGAGATGTGTGCAAACCTGGTGGCCAACTACAAGAAACGTCTGACCTCTGTGATTGCCAACAAGGGTTTTGCCACCAAGTACTAAGACATGTTTTGCAGAGGGGTCAAATACTTATTTCCCTCATTAAAATGCAAATCAATTTATAACATTTTTGACATGCGTTTTTCTGGATTTTGTTGTTGTTATTCTGTCTCTCACTGTTCAAATAAACCTACCATTAAAATTATAGACTGATCATGTCTTTGTCAGTGGGCAAACGTACAAAATCAGCAGGGGATCAAATACTTTTTTCCCTCACTGTAGGCCTACTGTAGAACTAACCATATCATACAGCTTATAGCTAGGGTCTCCTACTGTACAACTAACCACATCATACAGCTTATAGCTAGGGTATCCTACTGTACAACTAACCATATCATACAGCTTATAGCTAGGGTCTCCTACTGTACAACTAACCATATCATACAGCTTATAGCTAGGGTCTCCTACTGTACAACTAACCATATCATACAGCTGATAGCTAGGGTCTCCTACTGTACAACTAACCATATCATACAGCTGATAGCTAGGGTCTCCTACTGTACAACTAACCATATCATACAGCTTATAGCTAGGGTCTCCTACTGTACAACTAACCATATCATACAGCTGATAGCTAGGGTCTCCTACTGTACAACTAACCATATCATACAGCTTATAGCTAGGGTCTCCTACTGTACAACTCACCACATCATACAGCCTATAGCTAGGGTCTCCTACTGTACAACTCACCATATCATACAGCTTATAGCTAGGGTCTCCTACTGTACAACTCACCATATCATACAGCTTATAGCTAGGGTCTCCTACTGTACAACTAACCACATCATACAGCTTATAGCTAGGGTCTCCTACTGTACAACTAACCACATCATACAGCTTATAGCTAGGGTCTCCTACTGTACAACTAACCATATCATACAGCTTATAGCTAGGGTCTCCTACTGTACAACTAACCACATCATACAGCTTATAGCTAGGGTGTCCTACTGTACAACTAACCATATCATACAGCTTATAGCTAGGGTCTCCTACTGTACAACTAACCACATCATACAGCTTATAGCTAGGGTCTCCTACTGTACAACTAACCATATCATACAGCTTATAGCTATGGTCTCCTACTGTACAACTAACCACATCATACAGCTTATAGCTGGGGTCTCCTACTGTACAACTCACCACATCATACAGCTTATAGCTAGGGTCTCCTACTGTACAACTAACCATATCATACAGCTTATAGCTAGGGTCTCTTACTGTACAACTAACCACATCATACAGCTTATAGCTAGGGTCTCTTACTGTACAACTAACCACATCATACAGCTTATAGCTAGGGTCTCCTACTGTACAACTAACCATATCATACAGCTTATAGCTAGGGTCTCTTACTGTACAACTAACCACATCATACAGCTTATAGCTAGGGTCTCCTACTGTACAACTAACCATATCATACAGCTTATAGCTAGGGTCTCCTACTGTACAACTAACCACATCATACAGCTGATAGCTAGGGTCTCCTACTGTACAACTAACCATATCATACAGCTTATAGCTAGGGTCTCCTACTGTACAACTAACCATATCATACAGCTTATAGCTAGGGTCTCCTACTGTACAACTATCCATATCATACAGCTGATAGCTAGGGTCTCCTACTGTACAACTAACCACATCATACAGCTTATAGCTAGGGTCTCCTACTGTACAACTAACCACATCATACAGCTTATAGCTAGGGTCTCCTACTGTACAACTAACCATATCATACAGCTTATAGCTAGGGTCTCCTACTGTACAACTAACCATATCATACAGCTTATAGCTAGGGTCTCCTACTGTACAACTAACCACATCATACAGCTTATAGCTAGGGTCTCCTACTGTACAACTAACCATATCATACAGCTGATAGCTAGGGTCTCCTACTGTACAACTAACCATATCATACAGCTTATAGCTAGGGTCTCCTACTGTACAACTAACCACATCATACAGCTTATAGCTAGGGTCTCCTACTGTACAACTAACCATATCATACAGCTTATAGCTAGGGTCTCCTACTGTACAACTAACCATATCATACAGCTTATAGCTAGGGTCTCCTACTGTACAACTAACCATATCATACAGCTTATAGCTATGGTCTCCTACTGTACAACTAACCATATCATACAGCTTATAGCTAGGGTCTCCTACTGTACAACTCACCACATCATACAGCTTATAGCTAGGGTCTCCTACTGTACAACTAACCATATCATACAGCTTATAGCTAGGGTCTCCTACTGTACAACTAACCACATCATACAGCTTATAGCTAGGGTCTTCTACTGTACAACTCACGGTTCGTGCGGTGTATTCGTGCGGAGTATTCAAACACAGCTCAGGTCCAGGATCTGAGCACCTCACAGACAATTTCTACAACGCAAACACATTCTAACCGTTCCGATTGGTCCCAGAAACCGATGGGTTGGGCTGGAGCCAGAACACATATGGGATAAAGGAGCGTTTCGAACATTTGGCATTGGCTTTCATACACTGATTGGGTAGTGATGATCCATTCACTGATGACTGTACAATGCCCCTCGTTGTGATGTCACCACAAACGACTTCAACGATGGCAGTCTCAGACTGAAGCGGCGTCTGGCAACACCTCCCCACCCAATACTGTTTTTTTTTCTGTTCTTGGAACATAGTTAACCCTTCACATGGCTGAATTCTTTAACTAATCAATTCTTATCAATCATTTTTAATCATCACACTGTATTGTTCCCCCGTCGAAGATACCGCGCTGTAATGTTACGCCACCATTTTCGAATTTTCTGACAATTTAGGATGTTTCACACCCTTGGCTGTCCAAAAATGGTGTTTTATTAAGACAGTGCACATGTTTTTACAGTTTCTTTCAGACTGCCCGCCATTAAAGCCATTAAAGGAGGAAATGTACGCCTTTGCAGCCTGAATGGAGGATGCTTTATGTACGAGCCGGTCCACGGGGGACAGGAGTGTATCAATCCTAGACGATGTGCAGATCTAGCGCCCACATTCGGCTGCCTAGGCTAACACAACATATCATCGCACGACTCCAAGTTTAGTTCAATATGATGGTTATTAAATCAATATTTGCGCATCAACGTGTTTCCACAGCCATTTCTCACATAATACATTTTTTACAGACACAAAAAAGATCCCACCTTGTCTAGCCCATTTTGTTTTGTTGACATGTAGCTCAATTGGTAGAGCATGGCGCTTGTAACGCCAGAGTAGTGGGTTCGATCCCCGGGACCACCCATACGTAAAAATGTATGCACACATGACTGTAAGTCGCTTTGGATAAAAGCGTCTGCTAAATGGCATATTATTATTATTTATTATTATTTGGAAAAGTTTCCATCAGGCCTGTCTTGACATGTTTTATCAGACGTACTTTACTCGCATTAGAAGGTTGGATGGAAACCTGGCTAGTGATAACAGTTCAGTTTATAGTTGAATCTGGATATAAGCAATACATAAAGCAAATAAAACAATATGCTAAGCCTGGTTAAATCAATGGACTGTCATAAAGACTTAATATTCGCAGAGCTAGCATGTAGCTAGCTAGCTAGCATGTAAAGGCATCACTCAGAGCTAGCATGTAGCTAGCTAGCTAGCATGTAAAGGCATCACTCATTATTTTATTTTGCTGGACCCCATGTCTCAGTCTGTCTGTCAGTCCATCATTGATTTGAAAACAGGAGGCCTAGATCCTATTCTCACCATATAGGCTATCGGGACTAGGCCTATTCATTATGACATACACTACCGGTCAAAAGTTTTACAACACCTACTCAGTCAAGGGTTTTTCTTTATTTTTACTGTTTTCTACATTGTAGAATAATAGTGAAGACATCAAAACTATGAAATAACACATATGGAATCATGTGGTAACCAAAAAAGTGTTAAACAAATCAAAATATATTTTATATTTGAGATTCTTCAAAGTAGCCACTCTTTGCCTTGATGACAGCTTTGCACACTCTTGGCATTTTCTCAACCAGCTTCATGAGGTAGTCACCTGGAATGCATTTCAATTAACAGGTGTGCCTTCTTAAAAGTTAATTTGTGGAATTTCTTTCCTTCTTAATGTGTTTGAGCCAATCAGTTGTGTTGTGACAAGGTATACAGAAGATAGCTCTATTTGGTAAAATACTAAACAAAGCTTTCTTAGTGTCAAACAAGCTTTCTCTGCCCTTAACCTTGTTCTGAACACCTCCAAAACAAAGGTAATGTGGTTTGGTAAGAAGAATGCCCCTCTCCCCACCGGTGTGATTACTACCTCTGAGGGTTTAGAGCTTGAGTTAGTCACCTCATACAAGTACTTGGGAGTACGGCTAGACGGTACACTGTCCTTCTCTCAGCACATATCAAAGCTGCAGGCTAAGGTTAAATCTAGACTTGGTTTCCTCTATCGTAATCGCTCCTCTTTCACCCCAGCTGCCAAACTAACCCTGATTCAGATGACCATCCTACCCATGCTAGACTACGGAGACGTAATTTATAGATCGGCAGGTAAGGGTGCTCTCGAGCGGTTAGATGTTCTTTACCATTCGGCCATCAGATTTGCCACCAATGCTCCTTATAGGACACATCACTGCACTCTATACTCCTCTGTAAATGGGTCATCTCTGTATATCCGTTGCAAGACCCACTGGGACTGATCAACCTGGCGCCGACGAAGATGGTGTCCTCGTGACTAGCTCTTAGGAAACTTTGCAGTATTTTGTTTTTCAGTATTTTGTTTTTTTCTCCAGTTGCCAAACTAACTCTTATTCAGATTACAACCACTCACTTTCAGTTATTTGAAAAGGAAATCATCTCCCAGATATCACTATTTCTAAAACAAGCCATAGAAAGTTGGTTGCAATTTCAATTTAATCCTCCAGAAACGACAGAACAAATAATGCAACAAATATTGTGGTTAAACTCAAATATAATAATTGACAAAAAAACGTTTTTTTTGACAAAAAAAAAAAAAAAAGGTATAATCTTTGTAAATGATATCATCGGTAGGATTGGCGGAGTTATGTCGCACATGCAGCTAACAAACACATATGGAAATGTCTGCTCTACCCAAAATTACAACCAAATAATTGCAGCCTTACCGCAAAAATGGAAGAGGAAAGTGGAAGGGGGAGAAAGTAAGGAACTTGTCTGTCAGCCGCATTAAAGAACACAATTGGTTAAAGAAAATTATGATAAATAAAAAAGTATACCAGTTTCATTTAAGGACCAAAGGATTGACAGCCGTCCCATATAGATTGCAAAATAGTTGGGAAGAGATTTTTGACGTACCGATTCCATGACATAGTGTTTATGAACTAACACACAAAACAACACCGGATTCAAAACTTAGAATCTTTCAATTTAAATTATTATATAAAATTCTTGCTACGAATAGAATGTTATTTATATGGGGGATACAATCTTCCCAGCTCTGCAGATTTTGTTGCGAAGAGACAGAATCATTAGATCATTTGTTTTGGTACTGTCCATTTGTAGCTTGTTTTTGGACACAGGTCCAGGAATGGCTAAAGGATTGCAATATTTACCTGGAGCTAACCTTGCAGATAGCACTACTGGGTGATCTGAAAAGTCATAGTCAATCGATCAATAATATAATAATACTATTAGCAAAAAAAAGTATTTTCAATTTACAATCTGTAGAAACAATGAGAATAGAAAGGTTCAGAACTTTGTAAAACATCACAGTACAGTTGAAATATATATGGCAAATAGAAATCCTATATGGATGGTGTTAAAAGATAGATGGGAGGTGTTGAATGGAATTGAAGGATGGGACTAATAACAACTAACAACAAATAATAACAAGATAACTAATAATGTAAGCATACTGTGTCCATAATAAGTGTATGGGTTGTAGGTTGGGAGCTTTTGTGAAGGAGCACAGTTAGAAAGATATGGCATCTAGAAGCAAACCGGATGGACATCATGAAAATGATCGGAGCGGTTGAGAGTAGAAGAAGTTCAGGAGAAAGAACAAACAAAATGTAATTATTGTAAAATTGACTGTGTCCATAAAATGTAGATAGTGGGTATAAGCTGGAAGTAGAGGCCTAGGCGTTGTTGTTCACTAGTTTACTCCAAGTGGGGAAAGGGTGGCGGGGTTGGAAAGTAATAAAGGGGAATATATATATTTTTAAAGGATATGTATGTGTATGTATGTATGCATATGTGTATGTATGTGTGTATGTGTATATAACATATGGGGGATTGGAAGTGATGCAGACAATTACATTGATGGAAGTTACAATCTATCTGCAATATTAAGCTGATCTACCCCCCCAAAAATAAATAAAATATTATTCAGATTCAGATGACCATCCATGCTAGATTACAGAGACGGAAGTTCCTACATTGGAAGTTTGGGAATGGCCTAGTCAAAGTCCAGACCTAATCCCAATTGAGATGTTGTGGCAGGACTTGAAACGAGCAGTTCATGCTTGAAAACCCACACGTCACTGAGTTAAAGCAGTTCTGCATGGAAGAGTGGGCCAAAATTCCTCCACAGCGACGTGAGAGACTGATCAACAACTACAGGAAGCATTTGGTTGGAGTCATTGTAGCTAAAGGTGGCACAACCAGTTATTGAATGTAAGGGGCCAATTACTTTTTCACACAGGGGAATTGGGTGTTGCATAACTTTGTTTATGAAATAAATGAAATAAATATGTAATTGTTGTGTTATTTGTTCACTTATGTTCCCTTTATCTAATATTAGGTTTTGGTTGAAGATCTGATAACATTCAGTATCACAAATATGCAAAAGTAGAGAAAATTAGAAAGAGGGCAAATACTTTTTCATAGCACTGTATATTATGGTTGATCGGTGTCAGTGTTGATGTGGATGTGGTTGAGGAGTCAGACGCAGGACGCATGGGCTCAGTCAAACAAGACTTTACTAACTGTATAAACAATACAAAATAAAGGACCTCAAAACAAGGAGGCGAGCGACAACGCAAACACAGTGCGTCACAATAAACAAAGTCCAGAGTACTGCACGGGTGACACCAACGGACAGGCGGAAAATAACACACAAACTCACAAACACAAAGCCGGAAACTTATAGGACACATAATCAGACACAAACGGACACAGGTGCAACAGACAGACCAAACCAATCAAACATCGAAATATCTAACGGTGGTAGCTAGTACTCCGGGGACGACGAACGTCGAAGCCTGCCCGAGCAAGGAGGAGGAGCAGCCTCGGCAGAATCCGTGACAATCGGCCTATATATTTATTTGTTCAGTCATTTAATATTTTTTGCTTGA